ATCGGGTGGAGAGGGAGGTGGGAGGGGGGACTGGGATGGGGAATACATGTAAATCCATGGCTAATTCATTTCAATGTATGGCAAAATCCACTACAATACTGTAAAGTAATTAGCCTCCAACTAATAAAAATAAATGGAAAAAAAAAAAGAAAAAACACTTGCTGCAGCAAGTCAAGTATGGGCTACATGCATGCCTAGAGCTGCTGTTGTGTGGGCTGCTTAGAAATTCATCTGGCCACCTGCATCTTCTGTGCTCTGCCACAGGAAATAACCATGACTGTGAATAATCTTACCAAAACCACTAATATCACTGCCTGAGAACTACAGGAACTCCAGTGAGTGGATCTTCATAATTGTCTGGCATTGGACACCATCCTGGTATGGGGCACTTGTGATCGGAAGCCATTGCAGTGTGTGTGTTCCCTGAAACCTCTCTGATGTCTGTGCCATCACCAAAAACATCCAGACATTCCAGAAAATTCTTCAGATTCTCACTGTCCTCTTCACTCTCTGAATACCCTTCAGACCTAATGTCTAGGAATCTTCTCAACTTGTTCTCTCTGAACATCAAATCTTAGATCTACTCCCTTATTAAACCTTTAATAGCTATTATTTTATTTTATTCCTAAGTATGCATGCATGGTGAGTCACTTCAGTTGTGTCCGACTCTTTGAGACCCTATGGACTGTAGCCCACCAGGCTCCTCTGTCCGTGGGATTCTCCAGGCAAGAATACTAGAGTGGGTTGCCATGCTCTCTTCCAGGGGATCTTCCCAACCAAGGGATTGAAACTGTGTCTCGACAAGTGCTCGGGCCTGGTGCACTAGGAAGACCCAGAGGGATCGGGTGGAGAGGGAGGTGGGAGGGGGAACTGGGATGGGGAATACATGTAAATCCATGGCTAATTCATTTCAATGTATAACAAAAACTACTGTAATGATGTAAAGTAATTAGCCTCCAACTAATAAAAATAAATGGAAAAAAAAAAAAGTAAAAAAAAAAAAAGAAACTGTGTCTCGAATGTCTCATGTCTCCTGCACTGGCAGGTGGGTCCTTTACCACTAGTGCCACCTGGGAAGCCCAAGATTTTCCAACAGCTGTCATCCTAACAGAACAATCAACAGATGACACACAGTCTTTCAAGAACAAAGGAACATGAAGGCCAGCAACCCCTTGAAAACTATCTGGACCTAACTCAGCTTCCTAATGGGGCTTCCCTGGTGGCTCAATGGTTAAAAATCTGCCTGCAAAGCAGGATACTCAGGTTCAATACCTAGATACTCTAGTATTCTTACCTAGAGAATCCCATGGACAGAGAAGCCTGGCGGGTTTCAGTCCATAAGGTTGCACAGAGTCAGACATGACTGAAGCGACTAAAGCAGCAGCAGCAGCAACTTCCCAGGAACTCTTATTCCATGAGGACGGATTCTGTCTGACTTAATGGGGCGGGGGACTAAGTGTTCACAGTTACCTACTGCTTACCCTCTGCTTTGTCTTGACCAAACTTCAGTCAGCCTTCTTCCTTCCTACAGGTTCCTGAACTCTGCTTGCCCCCAAGCCTGAAAAGCACAAAAAAGGTAAATTTTACCTCCCTTCTCAGTTTCTCCTGGGATACTTTAAGTTGTGTGGATAGGGCATGACTGACTGTATTCCTTTTCACTGCTGTGGTGTCCTGCACACGCTCTCTTTCTCCTGCTCCTCCACCCACCAATTAGTGACCCTAAAGTGGTTAGTATCAGGACAATATTTGGAAAGATTGTGGCATTGGAGAGTTGTGGCTAGTGTGGTTGGTGAGGGCAAGTCCTTGCGAGGTTCTGCTGCTGAGTAAATATCTACCGCAGTTTTGAGTCAAACCCAGTATCCAGTGTTGGA